CTCATGGCAGTTAAAAAATCCCATGGAATAATCTACAAACTAAGGCCAGGTTCTAGGAACATTCTAAAAAAGAAAAAAGAACACGGAAATAAATACGACTAGGTATGTTCTAAATGATTGAAAAAATGGGTTTTTAAAGCCCGTTTAAAAGTATCAATGTTGTTAGCTTTTCTTACCGTATACGGTAGCAAGTTCCAGAGTTTTGGGGCTGCGTTGCTAAACCTCCTATCACCTAGCCTGATTTTACTGAGTCTACTGACCTTAAACCTTAAGTCATCACCAGACAGTTGCCGTGTTTTAGAATATGCTGCCTGGGAGTCAATCTGAAGAAGATCAGACAGATATGGTGGTGCTTGGCTGTACATAACCTTATACGCCAGAAGACAAATCTTGAAACTTATTCGTTCTTCAATGGGGAGAATGTGTGCTTTTTTGTAGTATTCAAGAAGATCTACATCACGGTCATCGATGTTATAGATGAATCGTATTCCAGCATTCAGTACAGATTTGAGCTTTTGCAGTGACTTCATCGGTAGGCAAACATACAGTGCATTACAGTAGTCAAGCTTTGATATAACCAGTTGCTTCACTAGCATAACTTTTAAACTTTCATCAAGATAACATCGTATTCTCTTCAGATTAGTTAATGCCCACATTGACTTCTGTTTAACACTGTTTAGCTGTCTTTCCATGGTAAAAGCTGGGTCTAGTTTGACTCCTAAACTCTTCCAATTGTCACCGACACATTCTGTTGGCATCACTTCCGTACTCCCAAAATTAACAGAAATTTGATTCTGTCCAAATTCTCTAAGAACCAAAGGCTTCCCAATGACTAGTAGCTCTGTTTTTGACTCATTAAGTTTCATATAATTTTCAAGCATCCAGGCCCTTATTTCGTCAAGGCAGGCATTGATCTTAATTTTCATTTCACTTAGTTCTCCAGGTATTAGGGGTTCAAAAGAAATGTAGAGCTGCGAGTCATCTGCATATAGCTGAATACGAATCCCATATTTAGCAGCTATCTTCTGAAGTTGTTTATTGTACAGGATGAACAGAATCGGTCCAAGCAAAGATCCCTGAGGCACTCCAAAAAGAAGACACATTACATCAGATAGCTCCTGACCAACTTTGACATTGAAAGATCTTGCATGAAGATAATCCTCAAACCAGCTGTTAGCTTTACCTGTGATTCCAAAGTCAGCTAAGAGTTTTCTGATAAGAATCTTATGATCTATTGTGTCGAAAGCTGCTGAAAGGTCTAGCAGGACCAGTGTCACAATTCTACCCTGCTCGATTTCCCCAAGAATGTCATCAGTCATTTTCACTAATAAAGTCTCACAGCTATGTTTTGGTCTATAACCAGACTGAACTGGACAATGAAGATCTTCTGCATCCAAGTATTCATTGAGTTGACTGAGTATGTACTTTTCAAGGATCTTGGACATAACCGGGAGATTTGAAACTGGTCTATAGTTTTTTAGACAGTCAGGATCTGCTCCATCCTTTTTGAGGGTGGGTCTGACCACTGCTCTCTTAAGATCTGATGGAAACTTAGCAGTTTCAATGGAAAGGTTGACGATGTAGCAGAGAAATGGTGCTAGTTCTTTAATGCAGTGTTTCAGGAGAAACATGGGTATTGGATCTAAGTCACAGAACTTATTTGACATGCTTTTCACCAGGGTTTCCATCTCGGACACTTCTACTGCTTTAAAAGTCTCTAACTTTGACTCTTTTTCATCACCTCCTTTGTTTTCCTGGGGTTCGGCAGGTAAATCACGAAGGTTTTCAATAGAGGACCGAATGTTTTCCACTTTTCCAGAAAAGAAAGCTTTTAGATCATCTGCAACTTCCTTAGGATTTCCAGATGGCATACTTGTCTGAGAATTACCCAACAAGCGATTGACTTTCTTGTAAAGGGATTTAATATCACCTGATGAAGCTGTGATAGAATTTCTATAGTATCCCTTTCTTTTTTCAAACTCCATACCCTGAAATTTATCCCGAAGTCCTACGTACGCTGATTTAAGTCCTTTTCCAGACCTCCAAGCTCTCTCTGCTCTTCTTCTCATTCTTCTCACTTCTCTCAGCTCTTCATCAATCCAGGGCGTTTCATTAGCTTTCACTTTCCTGTCCACTTCTGGGCAATGGGTGTCCATAAGGCTCGAAAGAACTTCATTGTACTGTGTAACGGCCTCGTCTAGTGACCAGTCAAAGTTTCCTTGGCACAGAGATGAGTTCTTCAAACTTTCTCTAAAAATGTCTTTGTCAAGATCTTTAAAATTTCGGTAGTTAACCTTTTTCCAAATCATCTTGGGTTTCTTACAGCAGTGATACCCTAAATCAAAATGAACTAGAAAGTGGTCAGAGGATGTTCCTGATTTAGTCACCGAAACTGGGCCCATTCTGGACCTAAGGTTTTCTGTAGAGAGTATAAGGTCAATTGTACCACCTTGTTCATGCGTTGGTACAATAGGCATGATTTGATAAAGGTCATAGTCTTGTAGAAGTCTTACCAATTTCATAGGGTACAAATCATTAGGACGCTCCATGTGAATGTTGAAATCTCCCATCAGAAGAGGGATACCAGTCTTGGTACTTAAGTCATCTAGGTAGCTCTCGAACTCCTCTAGAAACATACATTCCGTGTATCTAGCTTTCTTTGTATAAGGAGGCCTGTATATGTTCACAAGACGAATCGAATCTGTCTCAGTCTCAGATTGGAGCAATGCTTCCATAACCTGGAACGTTTTGTATTTAGTTACCTTTTCGTTGACTTTTAAGGTTATTTCTGGTCTGTAAAGGAAAGCAATACCTCCTCCACCTCTGTGTTTTCTAGGATTTGATAGTATCTCCCAGCCATAACTCTTGATCTCTTGAATCTTTACACTATCTGCCTCCTTAAGAAACGTTTCCTGGACAAAGCAAATATCACATTTCTGATCATTGAGGTGCTCCATCACTCCCACTGTCTTATTTACAAGCGATCTGACATTAAAGGTTCCAACCCTTAGGTTTTTGTTCTCTTTGTCATGAGCTCCTTTACCCTGATTTGGTAGGAGTTTTTTGCATCACTTGATGAGTGAGTTCTGGACATGACCCACAGTTTTTCTCTCACATAAAACGGACAAAGAGTGTCTGACGCCTTGTGTCTTGAATCTGACTTCTCTGATCGATTCTTGCTATGTGAACAGTTCGTGCATCGTATGTCCCCTGTCTTTTTCTCTTTCTTCTTAATACAGTCCTTCGATTTGTGGCTTCCTGCACAGTAGAAACATGTTGGGTCTGAGTCTTTGGACTTGCAGTATATGGATCCACTTGTATGACCAAAACCTTGACAGTGATAACACTGTATAACGTGATACCTGTCCCTGACAGGGTACATTTCCAATCCCAGACAGATCCTGTTTCCAGCCTTTTTGATAACTTCCCTTATAGCCGGTGAAACCTGCAAAACGGCAAACCTATCTTTGTCATCCATAAAGACAGCCTTGAACTCATCACCACTTTCCATCAGGGTCTTGATAGTGTCATTCTTCTTCAGGACACCCTCCACTAGCTCTTCCTTCGTCTTTATGTCTGCATCAAGGCCTGAGATAGTTATCTTTGGATTAAGCTTCCTCAGTTCTTCCGACTTAGATGTGACATTATAATTGGATTTAAGCGCTTCTTCTGCATGACCTAGATCCTCTTTGGATTTGAACACCAGTCTGGCAACGCCTTCGGTTTTAGGGGGATTAGCCCTAACTACAGGAATATTGCTCAGTTTTTGCTTAAGATCCTTTTTCACAACTGTTGTCCATTCTTCACCCGAGATTTTATTATCTCCATCAGGTCCCAAGTCCTCAGACTTCTTTTCGACCACCAGAGTGTGCCTGACCTTGTCAGTATGCAAAGACTTCACACTAGAATTATACCTGACTGAGCTGTTGCCAAGCTCTCCTGAATAATATGTGGCAGTGTAGAAGCTAGTTCCTCTCTTACAATAGCTAAAACCTGTTCATGTGTACTGGATTCTTGTGGGCAAGACAGAGCTTCGATTGCTTTTTCAGCTAAATTGTAAGCCATTTTTAGGGACTGCCAAATGCCCTCCTTTGTATTAGTACACTTTTTAACATCATCACACTCAGATATTCTTACCTTAAGGGAGGTGTTGATTTTCTCCAACTCTATCTCCAGTTTCTTCTTCAACTTCATATCCGCCATAATACCCTGCCAAGTACTGAGGACCAGACTCGGATTTCCAAACTCTTTAGTTCTGAGAAAAACTATACAGTAGTATTGAAGTAAGATTCCAAATCCTCAAATTATTTGTTATATAGTAGTGTTGAAAGTATTAAAAAGTATACCAAAAGAAATACCAAACTTAATTATGATTAAACAGCTTGTTAATACAAATTAGCCTGTCTTATCCAAGAAAATTCGCTACACTTTTGCTGCACATTTCGTGCATATCTCTCACTCATTTTTCTCACTGATGTGAAACTAATTTTCCTCTAAAATATCATCATCGCTGTTAACCTTATGAATCAGTACCAGTTACTACACCTTTGTTATATGAAATGGTAGTAAAAGGATCATATTAAGACATACAGGTAACACAAATATATGCTTATAGCAAAGCCCTGGGATATAAGATTGTTAGTCATATAAAAGCAACTTTCGTGCATATCTCTCACTCAAGCAAATTCCAATATTTTCCTCACTTTCGCAATACCTTTAAAAAAATCAAAAATCCTTATCAAATTTACTATTCATGCAACAATGATGTTAAACTCATTTTCCTCTGAAATATCAACATGAGCTTGTTAATACAAATTAGCCTGTCATATTCAAGAATATTCGCTACACTTTTGCTGCACATTTCGTTCATATCGCAAGAAAATTCCAATGTTTTCCTCACTTTTGCAATACCTTAACAAAAAATTAAAAATCCTTATCAAATGTACTATTTATGCAACAATGATGTTAAACTCATTTTCCTCTAAAATATCATCACCGCCAGGATACATGATATCTTATGGCTCATTCTTTAGAAGAACAGCAATACCTTTTAGCACGCGATAGAATACGTGATGGAGAACTACCTTTTTTGAAGACAACATTTGAAGGGGATGGATGGCTTCAAATATTTGAAGATAAAGAGACTTATTTGATGATGGCATGCTATTACAGGTTTAAATGAAATTTTAATGTCAATAATTTTTGCCCAATGACTTGAATTTGTTTTCAACTGACTGCAGTGGCGTAACTTAGGGCCTCGCAGACCCCGCTGTGCAGGGTGGGGCGCCGTATAAGGGGGGCGCAATTTTTCTGAATTTTAGGCCCTTTCACTGAAAAAACGCCTTGTTTGTGTATTTCCCTGTCCAATTTAGCGTTCGGTCGACACGAAAAAAATATTTGGGGTACCCTTTTTTGTTTCAGGGGGCGCAAAAAGCTGTAGGGGGGCGAGAAAAAAAGTAACCGACCTTTTTTTTTTTTTTTTTTTTTAGGGACACAAAAAATTTTAGGGGGGCGCTTTTCGTCACTGAGCGGGGGGGCGCCAACAGGCAAAGTTACGCCACTGACTGACTGGCTATTTATCAGTTTAAACAATTGATGGAACAGTATGAATTTCAACTAAATTGTCTTATATTATATCTTTATATCAGTAACACAAATCGAATATGAATAGTCACATAGATCAAGTATTTTGGTAACAGAAATAGCAAGTCATGATAATTTAACACAATATTAAAAGCATTTTTTAATTTACTCATCACGAAAATGATTCCAATCTTTCTCAGGCAGAGATCAGTTATAGAATTCTTGATAAATAAAGCCCTTGAAAATATCAGCAAGGTATGTACCAGATGAAAAGTTGTATTTTGCTGACTATAAAGCCAAGAAGGAATAAAACAGTATTTATTTTGTTCATTCAAGTAATTCTATGATTAATCATCTGCATCTACCAGCCTGTAGTTCAACAATGGCTGAAAGTGGTAGCACCAAACGACAACAATGCTCTCCACAACTACATATGTTTATCTGCTGTTGCCTATAGACGGAAACCACGGCATGATGGGCTGCCAATTCTTACCTCCATTATCCAGCAGCTTGTCAAGCTAGGTATGTTACTCTGTCGTGTGATATTGATATCATGATTTTCGTTAATAGCAAGATAATGTTACTAATGATTTGAGTGTAGTTATTTAAGCAGTTTGATAATTCGAGCATCTTGTATACTGAACTTCTGCTAGTCTTCAACTCGATTGTTTCAAATACTAAATGTTTCAGGATTTGACGTCAACGCTCCAAACTCATATGGGGAAACCGCCCTGTTCCTAGCTGGAGCAAACAGTGACCTCATCTCTGTGGAAACTCTGATTAAATTAGGTGCAGATGTAAATGCAAAGTGTTGTGTATTGCTGGAGACAATACTTCACCAGGCATGTTTATCAGAGAGACACCTGATGATGGAGACCCTGTTGCAAGTTCCTGGTATAGCTGTAAGTGCACTCAACATGCACGGATGGACTCCCCTTCATTTAGCTGCTCAAAGAGGTGATGTGTACAAAGTTAGGCGATTACTGGAGGCTGGAGCAGATGTGACCATCCAATCAAAGCGAGGAGATACTCCTTTGTTCTTTAGCGTACAGAAGAAGGCAAGTGATGTCAGCGACAGTGCGTTCAGTTTCATATTCGACTTCATCAAAAAGACCATGGATGCAGAGAAAGCTGAGGCCATGTTTTTACATGTAGACAAGAAGGGTGAGTCACTTTTAGATTGTTCCGTGAAATATGAAAACGTCATAGCTTTGAAGACACTTTTGGAATATGATGGGCTATTTGACATCAACCAGAGGGATGACCAGGGACGCTCTCTGCTGCATTTATCCATCATCCATGCCCCGAACAAAGATGTCATGACTTATTTAGTGGATCATGGACTTTCTCCCAATGAGTTGGACTTTAAGGGTAACACTCCTTTGATCTACTTTTTCAAGCAAACACGAATTATTCCGCACATGCCTGTAACTACTGCAGGTGCTCCGAATCTTAATGTCTAGAATCCTATCTGATATGCTATGCTTAGTTATTTTATTAGTTTCTCGGAGAATAGCAACTTATTTGGCTGATTTAATTTACAATGTCTTAAGGCTTGTTAGTTTGATTGGTGTTGAACATTTTATTATATAATTGACATTACTATTTATGTTATATTGAGACCATAATATTTGAATGCTATTATAACTATTCGAAAATAAGTTTGATATTATGCATGTAACATTGTTTGTTTTTGTACTAATATATGCTTGCTTTATTGCATCAAATAATTTAATTTTCAAAACCTGTTTAAATTGATCTATCGTAAATTACCTCAGTTTGTTGGCAAATCTTGTCTGTTTTTTAGAAAGTTTTATACTTGATTACATTATTTATTTGACATTTAATATAAGCTTATTTTGAATTTGAAAACTGTGTGTTAGTATTTTATACATGTAGTATATAGTATCGTGATTCAACCTATGTTTTGGTTTATTGTACAGGTTTTATATTTTGTTGGGGAGATATTTCAACATTAAGATTAGTGGGCAATTTTAAGTATTTTTTTTGATATTCTTCTGTACAATGATATAGCTTGCTGCTTCTTTTGAAGATATTTTTTTCTGATATTCTTCTGTACAATGATATAGCTTGCTGCTTCTTTTGAAGATATTTGATTCAATCGTTTTTTACACTTTACAACGACAAGCTAAAATTTTACTCAATCTTTGATTTATTCGTTATTACTAATTATACGTTTTTTAGATCCAATATTCAACAAGAAAACTTAAATGAGATCACTTTTAAAGATCATCTCGTGCTTCGGTTAATTTTTAAACAAATTTCTCAAATGTTGAATAGATTGTAGATTTTGACTCAACCAGCTTTAAATCCTCAGGTATAATCTAATGGTTTGAGGAATGTGCATTTAAATGGAGGGTTCCTCAGATGACTATACATTTTCCTCCGCAAAACTTCCTGCTAACAAAAGCAACAATGTCATCCTTTCTAACTCGTTTTTGGGACACAGATTACATGGTGATACAGTTCATATGAACGGTCTGTATAATGGGCATACTACTTCATGTCATCGAGCTAGGATACCTTGTCCTGTCCTTATGTAAGTAACCCTGAATCATTGTATACACTTGATTGCAAAAACGCCACTTACACTGTTAATGGTGATAGCTTCTGTCAGGTCTTTTATGCGCACAGCGTATTGAATAGAGTATTCGTTACTGAAATAACAGTTAATGGTGATAGCGTGTCTTTGGAAAGCCATCAAGGGAAACCAAGCACAGATTTAAAGATAATAAGTTCTTCAGACGAAGAGATATCACCTGATGAGAAGCTTGGCGAGGTTACGGTGTTTGCTGCTCAGATTACAGATCCTGAAACTAAAGATTCTCCCGTTTTGAAGGTTTATTGTGTTTCAAGTATCTTTTCAAAGGAACTAAGCAAGGGACATCACACATTCTTGTTTGCTTTTGGATATACCCACAACGAGGCGGTAGAGTTTTATAATCTTGCTGTTCACTATTATAACAACAAGTCCCTCATGTCTTCTCACCAACGTTCTTGGGACTTTGTCTGGAGATCAGTGAATGTTGACGTTGATAATACAGACTTTGCAAAGACTGTAAAGTCCTCACTTTTCTTCATACTAAGTGCTTTCCCACACTTTGCTCTTGAAAATCCAGACTTGGAGAATTACCCGTTTGACTTCTACGGAGTTAGCCCTGGTAGTTTGGGTAATGGCAGTGACGGAGAGGACTACTGGGGGCATGTGTTCTGGGATCAGGACCTCTGGATGCTTCCTGGAGTCATGTTGTTGTTTCCTCAACTGGTGAGGCAGTCTTTATTGTACAGAGTTGCTATGCTGCCGGGGCAGGAAGAGAGGGGGAAAGCAAAGAAGAATGGTTACATGGGATCCATGTACCCGTGGGAGTCAGGTAGGACAGGAGTGACGTGTGTCCTGGAGCTATTTACGCAAAGTACCAGCAGCACATTACAGCTTGTGTTGTCTATGCGATAAGACAGTATGTCTATGTAACCGGTTCTTGGGATATCCTTACAAAGGATGGTGCTTGGGATATTGTCAAAGAAACTGCTGATTACTGGGTTTCTAGGGTGGAATGGGATGGTAGTAATTTCGTTATCGATCACGTGATGGATCCAGATGAGTATCATTATAATGTGAACAACTCTTGTTTTACCAACGCTGCTGCTCGTCTTAATCTCTTATTTGCAATTGAAGCTGCGGAAAAGCTTGGCAAGATCCCAGATCCAAGATGGGAAACTGTCAGTCAGGAAAAGCAGGGTATTAAAATACCATTTGACGACAAACTCAGGTACCACCCCGAGTATGATGGCTACACTCAAGGTACCCTTATAAAACAAGCATCAGTTGTATTGCTTGGATATCCTCTTGGTGTATCTATGGATCCTGATGTTCGCAGAAATGACATCATTGAGTATGAGAAGTGTACTGACAGAGGACCTGGCATGACTTACAGCATGTACAGTATCGGAATGTTGGAACTGGGCCAACTGGACACTGCTGCGGAGTTGTTTAAGGTTCAGTTCAAAAATCTGCGGGCACCTTTTAGAATTTGGAATGAGTACCCAGGTGCCATGGGGTGCACAAACTTCCTTACAGCTGTTGGTGGATTTCTGCAAAGTTTACTCTATGGTTACCTAGGTGCAAGAGTGTTTGAACAATTTCTCTCAAGTTAATCCTAATCTTCTCCCAGATTGCTCAAAGGTGACCTATACAGGTGTTTCATATCGAGGAGAAAAATTTGATTTCGTAATTTCGGCAGATGGATTTAAAGTTTGCCGTACAACCGGCAATGCTTTTGAGCTTTGGTGCATAGAAAAAGATGGAAAGAAGTGGCCTCTTGTGACTAATGAAATTGTTTCTCTTGATTTGGGACTGTACAAGATTTGTAATTCTAATGATTATGAGATCATTTATTAATTAAGATCATTTATATTTTGACATAAAACAGGTATTGTTTTTTATTTTACTTTTAGAAAATATATTTTGGGACTATTTTTATGCTTTTATGTATTTTTGCACTAATTTTGTTTATATACCACAGAATCCATTGTTTAAATAATTTTGTACGATACTTATCAAATGTTTTGATTTCAGTTTGAGTCATATTTTCTGTAACGTAATTTATTTTTCTATAGTTCTATCCAGTATTGAAGTGACATTAGACACAACATTTTGGAAAAATCATTTGAATTATTGTTAAATGCTCTAAAAATTCAACAAACAGTCGAATACAGTAGTGTAACTTTAAATACTCTTTTCAGGGGTGAAATGAATAGCAACTTGCTCAGAAAACTAAGCAATCTAGGATTCATACCTTCTGGTGGTTACTTACCTCACAACGGCAGTGTTATCTTGTTCAACCTAGAGAAGAACTGGGTCCAGGACCGGCATCGTCAACAGTCACTTTTAATCAATGCCCCTCCTGTAATTAACAGCGATGCCTTTAAAACAATGGCTGAAGACACCTGTAACAAATCAGTTAGTTTCATCGAGGAGTCTCCAGTGTACACTAACTATTTGAGCAAATATTGTGGTTCGTGCTCAGATCAACTGCGACCAGATGAGTGTTGTGATGTATTTGACATTTCAAAGTTGGGATTTCACCAGGACAAAATATTGCATTGCCTAAATTTCTATTCAAAGCACGTGGCCCATGCTGGATTGATGGAATTTGATCAGATGAAAGAAAATTATCATAAGTACAGCAGATTTTTCAGGCTGCTTCATAACTTCAACCAGGCAAACTTTGTCTTGAAGTCTTCTTCTGACAGTACTATTCAGTTAATGTATAAATCAGGAAAGGACTTCATGATCCCTCTCCAAGAAACGAGATACTACAAACCAGAAAACTCAGAGGTTTTGGTGCTTCAGAGTATGACATACTTGTGTAATTGGTATTTGGCGATTATTCTGGATAAATTTCAGAATGATTTGCCCCCAAACTATTCTTCATTTCATCCACGATTAGCCCCCTATCATGTTGGTATTATTCCTGCAGATCAAGATAATCAAGACATTGACAATATCTCTAATAAAATCTGCAATAGCTTAAATAAGAGTGGGGTTTTGAGCAAAATCTTTGGATCTGAAAATGCTAGCGGAGAGTTAGGAATTCCTTTTGATGTTTTGGTTGACCAGCAGTGTGTTATGGAGGAGCAGGTGTCATTGTTGGACAGAAAGAATGGATCTCTCCATGTTGTACCAAACATAGATAAACTTCCTGAGATCTTTAGATTGTACTGGAGCTCCGTGCTAGATTGATTGGGACATTTTCATTGGATGCTTTCAATTCTCGTTGAAGAGAATGCTTATATAATATAAAGCAACTACTGGGGATTTTCGATGAACGGGTCCAGAATTTAGGTAAATGATCTTTAAGTGACCCTCAAAGATTTTTTATTTATTTTTATACCTATAATACTTTCTTTAGCATTATCTTTGGATAGACGTTTTTACTCAGATTGTTAAATTATTAAAATTATAGTTAACATTTTAATTTATTTAAATATGTTTCGAGTACAAATGCGATTAATTACAGTAGCTGTTATAAGTGAACTAATCGATTAGACATAATGTTTTACATGAAGTGATTTTGAACTTGATCTTAGCCCTTGCATGGTTCTGGTAGACGTTTCTTTTATGTAAAAATAATAATTGTTGTTTTCTTGTAAATAATACATATAATATTCAATTGTTTATCTGCTTTCTAGACTGAAGTTTTACTAATCAACAAGTGCTTTGTCTCTTATGTTCTATGTAGTGCGATTTTATACCTGAAATAAATAAATTTTACATTTATTTATAAAACAATTCTCCCCTTAGGTAGCCATGGCAGATGTTGCTCAGGCCTTAGTGCCTCCTGACTCTGGGCAACCTGAGTATGAGGAAGAAGATATGGAGGAACACATGGAAGGATCAGAATCAGATTACCACTCTGAAGATGAAGAAGACTATGACAGACATCATTCTCATCATGATTCGATGCCACTGGAACCTACCAAAGTCGAAGAACATGAAGAAGAGGTCGATGAACACGAGGAGGAGGTTGATGAAAACTTGGACGGGAATCAAGAAGGAATTCCAACAGTCAAGAAGATAAGGACTGTAAAGAAAGTTTTCAGATGTTCACTCTGTGATTTCTTCTCATTTAACCGGGACAACACAGAACAGCACATTAAAATACACAATGAGCCTCAGAACACTAAACTATACTATTGTGCTACCTGCAAGTACTCCACCAGAGTTAAACCTTACTTCGATAAGCATAGGAAGCTGCATAGTAACACTATCGTCCGACCGTTCAAATGTTCCTATTGTGAGTATCAAGGTAGGTTCAGGTCCCACACAAGAGCACATGAGATGCGTCACCACACTGGAGAAAAGCCGTACGTCTGTAGTCTGTGCGACAGAGGGTTTGTTGAGCAGCACATATTGGCACGTCACATGCGCACTGCGCATACTGATGAACGCCCATATGTTTGTGATGTCTGTAGTAGGTCTTACAAGCAGCTCAATGCTCTGAGAGTTCACCAAAGAAAGCATTTTGATGATGCTTATGTGTGTGAGTTTTGTCAGAAGAGGTTCTCTACCATACATCAGTTGCAGAGGCATTTGGAGTCTCATCAGGACAAAAACATTGGATGTCCTATCAAAGGATGCACTTTTAAAACAATCAACAAGCAAAGAATTGATAACCATGTCAAGAACTTTCATAAGAAAAGGAAGTGCTCAGAATGCGACTACGTCACTAACATTCACAGAGAGTACATCAGGCATCGCAATTCTCACAACAAGAAAATCATTCGAACATACAAGTGCCCCCACTGTCCTAAAACTTTCGCAAGTGTCCACAACATGAAAAAGCACCAGTCAGTTCATACTGGAATAAGAGAATTCCAATGCAACAAGTGTCCTTACAACACCCAGAAGAAAGCCATCCTTGTGAAGCATCTGGAGCTGCATCACCTGATTGAGAGTAATCCTGAGTTAATGAGCAAGTTCCTTAAATGTGACCAGTGTGATTTTATCTGTGAGACAAAGAAAATCTTAGGAGTCCACAGACGTATTCACAACACAATGAACAGTGCCAAGGAGAGCTCTGAAGTGAATGAGGGGTCCTATTCCTGTAGTATATGTGACAACATTCTCGGATCACGAGATGAGCTTGTCGAGCATCTTCTACTGGAGCATAGTAACTACAGAACCAATAAGTGTCACCACTGCCAGTACACAACCACTGTGCTTTCTGAGATGACACTTCATCTTGACTTCCACGAAATCCAGTCCAATGAAAGTGCTGATGTGCACACATGTGAGCAATGTGGCTACATGAACATTGATCATGATGATTTCGCTGACCACATCAAGCGCTGTGCCCAAGAGCACTTGCAGATGAAAAATGATACCAAAAAGGGAGGTCCCCATACAGAAATCAAACCTTACAAATGCCCATTATGTAACAGTAGGGTTCAGACAGCATCAAGTCTTAAAACCCATGTCATTTCCCATTCTGGTGTACACAAGGGTCGCAAGCACCTCAAATGCAACAAGTTGCCACATCCTGCTGATGGAAGCTTTGGAGAGAATGACAGACAGGGGGAAGCCAAAGTCCTCCTCTGTACACACTGTGACTTCTACACAAACAATGCTGGAGCACTGACATCCCACCAGAAAGTGCATCAAATGCATGATGACTCATTTGTGGACACTAACAGGAACAGCAAAATGCAACCAGTTGAAGGTGCTGGTGAGGATGAACATGTCACTGATGATGGATATGATGAGCTCGATTCAGGAGCTGAGTCTGATGATTTGGAGGAGTCAGAGGAGTTGTCAGACGTTGATGGAGAGACGGTTGAAATGGGACCGGATGATTGCAACGATGAGGAGATGGATGAAGAGATGGACCACCACACGGGTGATAGTCAAGAGCTAGAGGATGGAGAACCTGGACAAACAGTTCATCCAAGTCAATATAATTTTAAAACGGAACAGTAAACTGTTATTAACTCTGTGACCTTTAGCTTTGGCTTATAATTTGTTCAAATTTAGCTTTGAAGTGTAGAAGAAGTAGGTTTATATAAAATCTTAAAAGAATTTAGTACATAAATCAGACTATGAACTAATTCAGCTTAAGATCAAATAAAAAATATCAATTTGTAATGATTTTATTGTTAGAAAATGTTAGTTCATGAGCTTTCATCACTTAGTTATACACTGTTGAATGTTAAAGTGCATTACATTCCAAAAATGATGAGCCTTCTCTTAGTATGGTTCATACAGAGGTCAGAGGCTGTTATATTGAGCAATTAATTTTAATAAGACTTTTCACGATATGAACATACTCCACTATAGGATAGCTTATATTTTGAATATATAATATGAATATTAACCTACAATCTACAGTTACTATAAAGTAAAACTTATCTTTACAGTGAATTGAAAAATTAATTTGGATACTAACATTTTGAGTAATGTCTTTAAACTTTTTGAAGTGAATATTGGATGTAATCTGGCTTGTTTTCGTCATGTTATTCTGTTCCTAAAGGTCTATTCATCTGAATGTTCCTAAATTTTCCGCATTAAATATCTTAGCATTCGTTCCAATTTCTGCAGAGAAAAAGAATCTTTTAATGAATGCCTTGAAATGCTTCTTGAAATGATATTAGACCAGCAATGTTGGCTAATTTAAGTTGTCAGCTTTCACAGCAGTTACACTATAATAATATGATCTATAAATTATTTAGATATTATTGTGTTAATTTAAAATCCACAATGTAGTGATTTTGTTGTTCACAAATCAGCATACCTTTTTAAATATAACTTAAAATCAGTTAATTTAAGGCATGTAGTCATAATTGATTAATTATGGTTATTGCTAAAATCTTTTTCTTAACCACGCTCAAATGACCAATTTAAAATATTTTTCGTTCGAATTTGGGTACAAGCGACTGCTTGGTCCTAACTGAACGTATTTTACTTTTCTGGCTGTTTCACTGGAGAATTTGTCGATGAAAAATGACTGGTCAGGGACTATCCGCCCCTAACCAGTTTTTTCAAGTGATTGATGTAAAATTACGCTCGACAATTAAAAATCTTAACCTATTTGAACTTACAGTGGAAGTAATTTACATATATTGTGGTATGTTATGCTTTATCATCATAAATATTATGTGTTTTACTGACTGTACATACCTTACAAGACATTTTTATAACGTACGAAATGCGACGGTTTTCCCGAAATTTCGCCATATTTTCGGACCGCCAAAATTTCGGTCGTCGTAATAGAATCCGTCGAATTATTTTTAGCTTATTCCAATAATTGTGGCTTCATCGATTCATTTTGTTCTTGAAAAGTTAGTGATATGATGGTGGGACAAATAAACACAATATTCCATGATGAATTTAATGTCAAGTAATACGTTTTAAATTTACAATAAATTACATTTATGTGCTAACATAAACGTCTTATAAGAGACTAAGTCAAGATAAACAATTTAATACCAAACTCAATAAGTGAAACTGAAAGAGTCGAGCCGGACCCCTTAGAGGAAGATGAAGAAATCAATTTATAAGTTTCATTTTGTTTCAACATGATTTTACCGATTTTTAGAAAAGTTTGAATTTCCTTTAGCTTTGTGTCAGAAAACAAAATGATGAAAAATACCCTTATTTTCTGTGACGTCCGAAATGTGACGGTTTTTGTTCAATTTCGCCATATTTTCGGACCGCCAAAATTTCGGTCGTCGCAAATTGGTCCGCCACAAAAATGTCTTGTAAGGTATTAACATTGAATATTGATTTAATGGTTGTAGAAGTAAATTTTTCGATGAAAAAAGTTTCTTTCTTGACACATCCTGATTTCATAAATTTCCATGAAAATGTTTGGTATCTATTTAACTCTGATAATCATTAGCTTATCTTTCTAAAACCTTGAATAGTCAGAAAATGGACAGCCTCGGAGATATCCACACCTATCGAGTCCAGCTTGAACAGGTAAGAGTGGTTGATAGCTTTTTAATTAACAGGAGTTTCGGATATGGGTTTTAAAAAAGCACGTCTTCTGAATCTTTTAAAAGTAATTGTTGGGCATTTACTCGAAATGTGTAGAGCTGTATTTAATCAAAGAGAATGAACAACTTGCAGATGCCTGGATAGTATAGGATGTTTGATAGTTGATTTGATTTGATGTGTAAACTGTTGAATGTTTTGAGCGACTCATAACCTCGGTGTGTCCGGCTCATTTATGATTTATTAATTTCAATTTGGTAATGATACCTCTAACATTTCAGGTTGATGCGGCCTTAGTAGGGGAACCTGAAAATGAGGAACTTATTAAACTAAAGGCAGATTTGCTGGTGAGTGAGATCTTTAGTTTTAGTTGCTTTGGGCGAATGATAGTCTACTATCCGACATCTATTTACATTTCGTGGCAATTTCTGTTGCGCTTTCAAGGAATTGTTGTATTTTTGCTCACGCGCCGGGTAATTTTTTCAATGCATTTTCATTGTCAGCTTTTTATGTACGCGGCTATTTGTTAATTGGCGCGCGTACTCGACAAAGGCCACATCAGCACATATGTATAGTGTGTAAGATTCGTGTACTACAGGATATTATAGCCCTGACTGAGGATTTGATGGGTTTGTCAAGCAGCAAGAAGTCTAAAGTTATGAAGGAAGTCGAGGAAGATACCTTCGCAATTCCAGTCCAGGTACGCAGTATTCATGTTTTATCAATCTAGTCTTTTCAAATGATAACAAACCAGGAAGTTCGATTTCCCGCCAATTTCTGTCCATACCATTGCCTAACATTAGATTAGACATAAATCGAAAACATTTGTTCAGAAAAAGAAGACGGTTATGTCGTTGTATGATGATGATGACGATGTCGAGGTGATGCCTTCTACAGCTGTCACATCAACTGATCAAGAGCGTGCTACAGTAACTGAAACTAGTGAAACTGAAGCAAAGGTTTATATGAAGAGTCCTGTCATGTTTTATTACCTTTCTGAAGAAAAAACACGTATTTCAGACGATTTTCTTAGGTTTCTAACTTCCATGATTTACAGGTCACAATTAGTAATTTCGTGGTGGGCCGGAGAGCAGAAGCACCAAAAGTTGATATCATCGACGAAAAAGAGCGCTTATATCGGGTAATGTATAACATCACACATGCTTGTGTAATGTGTATTTTCCTGTAGAAAATACAAATCTGATATTTGAGAGTGTACATTAGCCTGCAGTAAGTAAATTGAGAGTGTGTTATTTGAAACATGATGTATAATTAATCAACATTTGCGATTTAGTTTGCCTCACGGTGACCTGTTAAATCAGATGTGTGAATGCGAGGAATAGTGAATATGTGCAATAATTAACATGATTAAGTATCACGTGCAATAATTAACTAATTTCTCCTATAATTACAGCAACAGTTACAAGAACTGAAGATGCTAACCTGTGATTGGAAGCCAGGTGATAAGTGTCAAGCTTTAAACTCAGACACCAATCAGTAAGCTTATTTTTATCTTTATTTAGTAATTTCCTTCTTTACTAGCAGAAGTGGGCGAATTCATCTCATGTCGTGCCACATACTGCTTTCTGATCTCTTGCTCAAAAATACAGAAGTTACATATTATTATAAAACATGTTATAAAACATATCATAAAACATATTATAAAACATATCATAAAACATATTATAAAACATATTATAAAATATTTCACTGTCAATAAATCAGGTATAACGAAGCTGAAGTGTTAGCTAACGGTGATGGATATCTGCAGATTAAATACAATGACGATGGAGTTGTAGCCAACGTATTAGTGAGTGTATTCTCTGTGTATTAGTGATTTGCTCGCTCTGTCTTTAGTGTAGGTATCACACACTTATCTGAATAAAGACACAGTGATAAATTTGATCTTTGAGTAGATAATTATGCGGATACACCTTACATAATAATGCAAATTATCAGTGAGGATTAACCTGAGCTAATTTCAGTTATCAAATGTGAGAAAGCACAAGAAAAGGAGATGGGGTGAAGTCACGAATGCTCCAACACCTGAAGAGTAAGTTTACACAGTCAACAACTGTTGAGGATTACCCTCAAATACACTACTCAAATCGGGTGTAATCCCTCCTTAATTTCTGAAAATACAAAATTCGATTCATAACTAAATCACTATTAACAATTCATTTGCCATGTTCAGGGCTAAGAAGTCAGTTATAGAAAAAGAGAAGAAGAAGAAGAAGAAACTTAGCAGAAAACAAAGACAGACTGAAATGGAAAATGTTAGTTTATTTAGAGATACTTTTTACTTTTTAACTGTAGCAATGTCGCAGGATATCTATATAAAATTCATTCATCACCAATTATATTACAATATCTGTTCATAAAATTGCGGTTAAAATTGTTCGACTACTTATACCAGTAGGAGCGTTCATCTCCAATTATTCATTTTTATCAAAAGCTACTGAAACATCCTCTTATAAAATATGTTGCACTTTAAAAGGCGAAAGAGCAAGAGAAGAAAAGCTGGCTTTCATTCATGAAAGGTAACAAGACAGTAGCGAAAAACTCAACGAAGAAAAGTATATTCGCCTCTCCTGATAACTTCGACGGAAAGGTTTGAAAAAGTTATCTCGGATGTTTTTCCATGCTTCCGTACATTAGAAATAACACAACTTTTGTGACTAAATTCCATTAATCTGCTTTGTTTTCTCCAGGGAATGACTATAAATATGTAAAGCGACATCTCACATCAGTCAGTATTGCTGTACTGGAAATATTTTAGATCACTTACCTTATTTAAAATCTACCGAGTTGTAGATTGTTCATAAAAAACCCTCTCAGATCGGTATTGGAACATGTGGGATATCTGGCAAAGGAATGACTAGTTTTACTGGACCTGACAAGTGGAAGAGATAGTAGTGACGTCATCAGCAAGTGACGTCATCAGCAAGTGACAGCATCATAACGACAGAAGTTGACTATTAATAACCATTTTAGATTGTAAATATGACGAGTTGGTCCGGGGTGTGATTTCTTAATAACAGTGATTTACGGAGGCTAGAAGTATGCACACGTGGAATGGCACTTTTAATTCAACCCAGATCGACCATTTACCATTAAATCAGGCCTTCAAGTGTGCAATTATTATGAACAGAAACGTGTTTCAATGCTATTTCCTATTTGCGTTTACTTTAATAAAATAACAGTCGATTGATTCATTGGTACACACTACACACTGTGTACTACACAGTCCTGTCTTCCTGACATTTAAATCCAAGGCGAAGTCCGAAGAGAATAAGATATAATGTGTCTTGATGTTTAATTAAAATCACGGATTATATTTTGTTTATTTAAAGTTCAAACCATATTATTTGAGGTCTACTAAACTTCTACTAATAATAAGTACAGAGTTTTATACAAAGTTTTATTACAGAGTTTATGCTAGCAAATTATTGATTATCAACTCAAGAAATATCTACGGTTAAATCTGCGTTGATTCCTAGCCAACTTTTCTCTGACTCCCGCAATAACACTAGGTCAGCATGGCAGCTGCAGCTGGCAAGTTTTGTATGGTATTTGTGACGGTCCCTACCAGAGAAGTAGCCAAAGCCATTGCCGGAGGTGAGTCCTTTTTGACGTTGGTTTTAATTGTTATCATAAATTAATCACAGTTATTGAGCTGCAGGTAATCAGACAAATGATAGATGGAATTATAGTGATAGTGTTGCTATCAGAAAATGTCTGTATGACAAATCAAGAGGAAGGGAATATATTTTCAATACTGTTCGGTGAACATTATCCAAAATTTGATTTCACTGATCTGGCGTTTAAAGTCCTCAAGGTTTTTAATCCTTGTGAAATTACCCTCAGGATTGTTAGAGAAGAAGTTAGCGGCGTGTATAAATGTTATCTCCGGAGTAACCTCCTACTATGAGTGGGAGGGAAAGTTGGAGGAGGACAACGAGGTTAAGAGGTTTACATTATCTTGAAGTGAGGTTTATTTTATCTTGAAACGAGGTTTACTAGATTTTTTTTTAAAATTGATGAAATCGCATAAATTTTCCTGTTGAGATGAAAAGGAGATTCGTTCTTGGGTTATTATTGAGACTGTTTGTCATGGGGCAGATGTATGATAACATCAGATTTAAATCATAATCCTAGTTCTCATTTCCAGTTGCTCCTCATGATTAAGTCTACTAAAGATAGTTTCGATGATCTTTCAGAGTACGTGAAAGCAAACCACCCCTACGACTGTGTCGAGGTAATATTAATAATAACTTCAACTCAATAAAAGCTATTTAATTTGAAATATTTTTTGATATAAATAGACAATTTTCATGTTTATACCATTATAATTACCAGATGATTATTTTAATGGTCACACCATTTTCCTTTATAGGTAATTTCGGCAGACATTGATCGAGGAAATCAACCATATCTGGATTGGATCGAAAAATCTTGCACAAAATGAATCAACATGGTTACGAGCGTATATGTTTCTATGAAATTAAGGATTATGTGGATTTGAGGTTAACAACTAAAGATGATTTGAAAATCGGTCGAATTGTTTTCGTATCGATACTAAAGGCAAATTTTATATGTATATACTTTCAGTTAGGATTCTTTATTCTAAAATATTATCCAATGGTGATCAGTTATTTATGTTTTTCTAAAATGATCTTATCCCATTTTTTAATCGTGGTGCACTTTTTGATTGAAAATCTTTTTAATTTCGTTACATTTTTGAATCAGCCTTCTTTTCACTGCGTCCAATTTTCTTTTTAGTTATAGCATCTCATATTAGCTATGGAAGTCTTAAAAGCTTGCGACATTCCTCTTTGTACAAGTTAATTCAAAACTAATCTCAATACCTCTTTCGTTCAGATAGGACGATGAAAACGCTTGCACAAGAGGGATGGGTCCTGAAACCCAACATTAGCAAATCTCACAGTGAACTATTGGACACAGACTTAGCTCACGTCGGCGCCAAAATAATACCTGCTGACTTTGCTAATGTCACAATCATAGACGGTCCCAAGATATTCCAGTTTAAACGTGTAAAGGATGTGAGCCATACAAAGATAAGCCACGAAAACGGCTCCAACAAGAGCATGTTTAGAATCACTTTGTCTGATGGGAACAGCACTTGCTCTGCTATGAATCTTCAGCCCATCCCTGGATTGAGTGGAAAGGTATATCCTGGTACGAAATTCAGGATAAAAAGTGGCGGTGCTCAGGTTTTAGGAGGTTTTCTGTTGTTGACCCCGGCTAATTGTGAGGTTATTGGAGGTAGAGTGGAGAAATTGGTTGAGAATATTGAAAAGAATGAGAATATATCTAAAAAGAAGTCCGGAGAAGATGGGGGACCTCCGAAATTTGTTCCCTTTGGGTCATCTGCAAATAACGGCACGGCTAAACTTCAAGTTACCCTGGAAAAGCCTGGTAAACAGGAAACCGATATTCAGAACGGAGCAGGTAGCAATAAGACTGGTGACCATGACAGGAATTCACGGAACGATAAAAATAATTCTGATCGAGGTCAGAAAGGTGATTATCAGAAGGACAGACGGGGAAAAAGTTATGAAAAACGAGGACAAAGTACAAGAAGTACAGATGATCACAAAGGACAAAGCTATAGCACAGATGCTCAGGGCAGTGACGACCGAGGGAGAAACAGAAATAGAGGGACCCATAAATCAGATTTTAGGGGGTATAGCCGTGGAAATTACCACAATGACGACCATCAGAGCAATCGGGATAGAAGTGAAGATGGTTCCCAAGGTTCGGGTCGATCGAGAGGGCGGGGTCGGGATAGGGGCGAAGATAATTCTCACAGTTCGGGTCGGTCTAGGGGTCGTGGTAGGAATAAAGGAGGAGAATCGGGTCGATCGAGGGGCCGTGGACGGGATAGAGGAGATGATTCTTACAGTTCGGTTCGATCAAGGGGTCGTGATCGTGGTTCACGAGGTAAAGATAGATCGGGACGGGACGACCACTTTATCTCTGACAGGACCCAAACACCAGGGTTCAGTTTGGGTGATGTTTTGGGTGACTTCCCAGCACTTGGTGGAGCTAGCCAGACTGGTGGGGCTAGCCAGGCTAGCGAGGCTGTGAACCCTGCTTCTGAGTGGTCCAACTCTAGAGGGGACGGTGGATCTGGAGGTTATGAAGATAGGGGAGGAAGCCGTGGAAAGTTCCGTGGTAACAGTCGGGATAGAGGTGATGATGATTCAGGTCGATCAAGGGGCCGGGGTCGGGGCAGAGGTAGGGACAGAGACGATTACTCTCCAGAAAGGGCCCGACCAACAAACTTTAGTCTGGGTGATGTTATGCAGGATCTAGATTTCCCTGCACTTGGGTCAGACAGCCCTGCTAGCGGCGCTGGTCAGGCAAGAGAGGAAGTACAGAGTGGCTCTGATTGGTATAACTTAAGAGATGGTGGTGGATCTCGAGGTTATGATGATAGGGATGGGAGAGACAATAGGTCACGAGGTCGAGGTCGAGGATCACATGATAGAGGGTCACGTGATAGAGGGTCACGTGATAGGAGTGGGAGAGGTTCTCGTCGTGACGACTATTCCTCTGGACAAAGTAAACCTGCCGTTTACAAGGCCGATCTGGAGTCTGATTTCCCAGTCTAGGAGGGGGAATCCCGGCTGCTGCTGCTGCTCCAGCTGCAACCAACATTTCTACTAAATCCAAGGGCCCAGCTTCTAAAAACATCACAAACGTTATGGTTGATGATGAAGGGTTTGAAATACACGATCACCTGCTGTACGAGGATAACGGACCTCCTCGTCAGATGCACGACCCCTCCTTCACGAGAAGCAGGGGTACAGCAGCTACCGCTCCAGCTCAGACCAAGTTGTGGAGGAGATACGTGAGATGACGGTGTCTGATAATATGCCATCTCATAGTGGTAAAGATAGAGCCAGTCACGGTGGTGGTAGTAGTACTAGTAGTGCTAGGGCTTCTAAAAGCCAGGATAGTCGTAGGAAAGATCCGGAGAAGAGGAGTGATCAAAAGTATCGTAGTGGTGGTCATGGTGGTGATTCCCAACAATGTCACCGGGGTTATGGCCACGATAATAGTTCTCGGCGAGACAACGATCACTACGATCAACAGTACGATAATCGTTCTGATCAGCGACGTGACGATCGCTACGATCAACGGGACAGTTATCGTAATGAACAACGGAACGATTATCGCAATGATCGATACGATGATAGCTCAAATATACAGTACACTGATCGCCGTGATGATCGGTACAATCCAGGAAGAACCACGTCCAACCGTTCCAACTTAACAGGCAACAGAGGACGGTCTTCTGGTGGTGGCTATCGTAGATAATGAGGTATTGAACTGAAATGATCTCGTGGTTGTTGATGAAATTGGACTATTTTTGAAACACTTGCTTATAGTTATATTTCCTAAATTTTAGAATTTGCCTTGATTCTTACATTTTTAACAGTTATTTGTTATTAAATTGAGTGTAAATTATTTATATTTCTCAAAATGTTTGATGTGCTTCAAAGAATGTATTAATCTCGCATTGAATGATTTACCGGATATATAATATAAAATAAACTTCTTCTACATTAAAAATAATCACTAATACTCTGAATCATTTTAGGATGTGAATTTGTTCATGACTGCAGTTAAACTACAAAGCTACACCCACAATCCACACTAGCATGATGCAGCGGTCTCTGTTGTACTGTGTGAGGAGCAGCCATAGTCTGACACACATCTCAGGTGCAGCCAAACCCCGCCCTGTCTTATACCATCCACCATGGTCAGTAGTTCTGTGGGTAGGGACTGTTATAATTAGCTTATACCATCCACCATGGTCAGTAGTTCTGTGGGTAGGGACTGTTATAATTAGCGCCTTCTTCGTTGGGGGCTGTGGTCACTAAAAGATAGAGCATTGCTGTACTTATCATGTTGGAGCTTATTATTAGATTGGTTTTTCTAAAGAAATGATCGTCACCAAACCGTCATCTTTAACCTTGACTAAATGTTGTAACTCCTGGCTTTGTATGGAGTATGCACACATAATCTCACAATTTTCCATTTTTCCTAGTCCCCGACAAGTTCACACAAGCCCCCCGGTGGCCATGCCCCGGTATGGAGGTGGGTCACATAACTCTGGAGGGGGAGGAGGTAAGGTCAGATTCGCTTGTCCCAAGTGCAAGTCACTTATCATGTTCTACTGCAAGTTCTCTGGAACAAAACGTCACATCAGGTATATTTAACCCTTTAGAAGAATATATCCAGATTCGGGATTTTTAGTTTCTAGATGGACGTGATTTTCGGGTCAGTAAAAATATTGCTATTGTTCTACCCAAAGCACAAAAAGCACATTATGGTCTGTCTCGGCCTCCTTTTCAAAAGCAAAAGTAAACGCAAAACAGATCGACCACTAACAACTCTTCTCTCTCAGATGTCACAAATGTGACGAGCTGATCTCAGTGAAACACACCCACACCGCCGGAAGTGACCTATCTAACACGGACATACCTGACATTGAGGGTCTGTACAGCAGTGAACTTCTTGAGGAACTCAGTCGTGGTGAGTACTTTACACTGGCAAGCAATTTCATGGGTCACCGAAATCAAATATGTTGTACACTGTACAGTAAAATATGTCACATTTATATTAAATTAAAGTGTTTTTGCCTCTCTGAAATATCCTCCCGTAGCCCAAGATCTGAAGAGTCTGGATGATAAAAGGCTAGGCAAACTGTTTGGTCCAGCGTACGAAGAACCAAACCCAGCTGATGAGAAAGAAAAAGTTTTGATAGAAAGTGCACCTCCACCCCGGTCTATATTCACTTATCTGGACAAGTAAGCTTCCTTCTTGGAGCTAATTTTTAGAATTTTACTTTTAATCTTTTTCTTAGTTTTCGAAATCACTCCATATCTTTATTGGTGTATTCATATACAAAATATGTATCAGTTCCGTTCAACTAAAACCTGGTCACATTGCCCCAGGTTTGTCCAGGGTCAGGACCGCGCTAAGAGAGTGCTATCAGTCAGTATCTACAACCACTACAAACGCCTCAGAGCTCTCCAGACAGATAAAGATAGAGACGATGTACCCAGGCTGGATAAGAGTAATGTTCTCCTTATAGGTCCTACTGGCAGTGGTTAGGTCATCTTATTTGTCTTGTTCTTTACTTCAAAATATTTTGTAACTACATATAATGTTGACGTCCGTAATTTTGAAATCCGCTAAAGTTTTACTTTTTATCGACCGTGAGATGTTGAACTCGAATCATGTAACAAAATGGTGATAACCCCCCATATTGATCACGTGGTTCAGGTAAAACGTACCTGTTCCAGATGGCAGCTAAGTTGCTGGATGTACCCATGGTGGTCTGTGATTGCACATCACTAACCCAGGCAGGATACGTGGGTTAGTCATTATAAGTAGTGTGTTGTATTATACACTGTACATTGTATTATACACTGTATTATACACTGTATATTGTATTATACACTGTATATTATAACTGATTACACGGATTATCGTTACTGTTACCGATCTTTAATTAGATAATTTGTTACGATATCGATACAATTGAATACTGTTTGAGCTTTGATGTATGATGTATCGATATCTGCCACAATGACGATGTTGCATTATTTTTTGAAAAACAAGCTTTGAAAAATCTGATCTTTAGTTTAAGCTTGATTGTCACAACCCTTTTCAACCAGGGGAAGATGTAGAAAGTGTTGTAGTTAGATTATGGCAAGCAGCTGGACAAGACCTGGAGAGGACCCAACAAGGCATTATAGTTCTAGACGAGGTAGCTTTAAACTTCCAACCTCTTTCTATTTCACATATCCAGCGTTATCTTTAAAACATTGCGCCCCCCTCACCTTACCCTAGTAGAAACATATTTTGTAAATGTAACAGCTTTGTTTCCCTCTTTTTTTGATCTAAGCTAAACGAATACCATGTGGACCACGGTCCACGAGGCAATAAACACTGATCTGAAATTTGCATTCCTTTAATTCCAACATTGTTGCCAAATTTGAGAACAACAGTCTTCCATAGTATATAGATCAGGGGGGGGGGGGGAGCCAAGTGGATATTTGTAGATATTTGGATAATGTCATCCACTTTTTTCGTGAATTATCCATTGACAATAATCTACATTTATCTACAAAAAATGTAATCTCAAATATGTGCCCAGAAATTCTACTGAATTTTTGGAGATAAATGTATAAATTTGTAGAATGTCATCCACTTTTTTCGTGGATTATCCATTCTACATTAATCTACAAATATCTACAAATATCCACTTGGCTCCCCCCTAGATCAATATAGATCAATATATAGATCAATTCCATCATGCGCTGAGCGCTCCAATCAGTTCATCTTGATATTGTTTTTTTTTCTAAGTTGGTTGGCTAACTACAATTACAAAGAATAAGAGTTTGTACTTTGATTGTCAAATTAAATATTCTATAATTCTAGTTATGATCTATCTATTATCTAAATAAAGTTATATAATAATAATACAGATTAAGCACACTTCCTTATTACTCAGCTGGACAAATTAGCGAGTAAGAGAAACAAGCACGGAGGTAAAGATATTGGAGGTGAAGGTGTTCAGCAGAGTCTTCTCAAGATTATAGAGGGTACTAATGTCACCGTCACGGACAAGGCTAAAAACAAGACTTATCAGGTAGGACTTCGTGGTTGGGGAGACTTTATGGGTGAAGTCAGTTGCCTCGGAATAATCTAGTTTATTGTTTAAAACTTGAAATTATCGATCAATATACGAATTATATTTGACTACTAACGTAGATATATCTTAACTCTAAAAACCTCTCCTTTCAGATAGACACGAGGAACATACTGTTCCTGGCGTCAGGAGCGTTTATAGGCCTGGATCAGATTATAAAGAGAAGGACTGCTTCCAAGTCACTCGGGTTTGGAACTCCTATGTCGCAGGAACATTATATTAAAGCTGCTGCCATCGAAGGTAAACAATTGGGTATCGGTATTTCAGTATTTGCAACTTTTATGGGGTAGAATTTTTGTAATTTCATTAAAAAAACTCCCACCATAGAGTTATTTGATTTCTGCGCAAAATTCAAATAATTTGTTGTTGCGATTCAGATAAAGACAACATATTTTGTACTCTCAGAAAGAAACCGGGATTCGGACACACTTTCAGAGACCCGAAAAGACAGAATAAATCAGATCAGAGACACAGAGGAAAAGAACAGGACCAAAGATCGGCTGCTCGTTCAGGTTGGTAAAGTTTTACTTTCAGCTAACTTATCTGAATCATGATTTAGGAATTCATTCTGCTTACAATTTTAACATTTCAAGAGCAAATATGCTTTATTCCGCAAACTCGCTTGTATCCTGATAATATAGGTAACAAGTTTTAGACTGATTTGGCCCCCAATTTTCAACTGATTCGAACATTGGCAGTGACGTCTTACACCTCTCAATCTTTGTTTTGATATATTTCCATGTGCAGGTTGAACCAAGAGATATCCTTGACTACGGAGTTATACCCGAACTAGCTGGACGAATACCTGTTGTAGTGACGCTAGACAGTCTTACCCAGGTACACTTCGTTACTCATTCATAGACCATTAAGTTCAAATCATGAGAAACTATCATTCAGTTCCAAAAGAAAAAACCTCTGTTGGAAAAAATTTTAATTCTTAAATTACATACATAATAAAAATTGAATAATCAGACCCAGTTGACCCTGCTCGGATGTGGCAAGTCTCCAGCATAACCTCAAATATCATCACGCAGAGTTCAGCCAACTCACTATTGTAACCACCCAGGAGGATCTAATGATAATAGCAAACGACAAGGAGAGAGGTGTCATATCTCAGTTAAAGGAGTTACTGTCTCTTAATGACTGTCAGCTGGAATTTAGTGATGACGCTTTGAAAGCGGTCGCAGAACTTGCTTTTTGCAAGAAAACAGGTAAATGGCTGTAGTATTTTAATTGATCATGTATGATTTCACGAAGACTGCAACTGAGAGTTGTCTCGATTTTTATTTTTGTATCTTATTAAATAATTGTTTTATTATTCATGCTTGTTGTTTTACCAAAAGCTTCATTATTAGTGTCCGATGTAGACCTCATTTAATAATTATGATTATTAGATGAAGCATACCTTAAATTATCAGGCATTGTCTTTTGCAACATAAACAAATAAAATTAAATTTAGCGACTCCGGCTCTATCATTTAAACTTCAATGGCTGCATAAAAAATAAAAAGATACATGCCTTATATACACTGTACTAATATTTGCTCGGAAATGGTTGGAAATGGTGGAAAACTTGGACAATGGACTATTTAGTGATAATAACAGTTGTAGTTCATAGCAGTTGTAGTTCATAGCAGTTGTAGTTCATAGCACAGTCCAGAACAATATTACCCTTTGAAACAAAAGTATGTTTAATTATTCTAATTTGACCATGTTGGGCCATGAATAGTGCAGTAAGTGAGCATTCACTAATACTCAGATAACTTATGGTGCCTTCGTTTGCAGTATCTCTTGTTCTGGCCATTGGTCTATCACTCTGTTCATCCCTGCCCAAACTTGCCAGCAGAGACACAAATAATGATGATCAGTACATACTGGATACGTACGAAGTAAGATCAGAGGATGAGGAGTCGGAGGATATGTTTGCTTTGATCGAAACTGAGGATTTAATTGGACTGGATGAAGATATAGAGGAGGATGAAGATGACGGAGATGATGGGAGTGATCTGCCGGAGGAGCTTGATTGGAGAGATTCAGGAGTCATGCATGAGGCTATCAACCAGGGCGCGTGTGGTTCTTGTGGCTGGGTCTCAGGGACGCAAACCCTTGAAGCTACATTGGTCTCTGAAAACCATGTCCCACTTTCAATACAGAACTTTATGAATTGTGCAAAGGAGGTCTGTGTAGGGGAACTACCATACGGTGTGTTCAGCAGAGCCAGAAAAGCAGAGTTTGTGGTCAGAGAAGATCAGCTGAAATATACGAAGAAGGAGTGTCTGGATTGGGGGCCTAAAAAGACGGGATGCAAATGTGGGGCCAATCATCCGAATGAGTATATTAACGAGTGGGATGATCAGTTTGTAGTTATCTGCGGAACCAGATCTGCTCACACAGAAGCTCATTTAAAAAGAGCTTTGCAGTCTGGACCAGTTACCACTTCTTTCAACTTTGCTAATAAAGCTGAGAGGGATCTTTACGGAGAAAGATGCACATATGGTGGAAAACATGCAAATTCTATCATTGGGTACACAAAAGATAAGTTTCTACTTCAGGACAGCTATGGCACACCTAAGACTCAAAAGGGGTTCCTGAAGACGGACGGGTCCTGGGAGACTACCATGGGATCGGAGTGTGCTGAAGCTGTTATTAACAAAGCTTACTATCCTTTTATACTGTACGACTACGATCGAGCTAACGCATATTTCAAAGAAATAGATCCTGTAGAGGAAACTGCAGTGGTATTTGTTGAAAAGCCTAGCTACGGAATAGCCTCTGATGATACAAAGAATGTCGGCAGGGCAAAGAACAAATGTGCTTATCTCGGGTCTGCCTGTAAAGGTGTTGTGACTTTGTCCAACGGAGCATTTGAACTTGTATCTACGTTTGGAAATGGCGTGTCTGGAACCCAAAAAGCCTTCAGCAAGGTTCAAATGGTTGTTTACCTAAAGCATGAAGAGACCGGAAAGTACATCGGAATAGATAAAACCGAAGTAGGACTCGTGTTAGTGCCTACCGAGAAAGAGGACGCCGCTCCCTTTTTTACCAGCTATGGAAGATTCATCTCTTTCGAGTATCCCACCTATCATATGGTAGGAAAAACCCTGGTCGAGATGTCCGGACGTATGCGTGATATTGACAAGCTAAAAACCTGGACCTTAAAGAACTGTATACTTCACAACAGAGTGAGTGGAAAAGCTCTTGACATTGCAGAGTTCCTGACAAACGTCGGGAAGAAGATCAAGAAAGTCAAGAAAGTGTACCATACTACAACCGCGAAACCAATGGACACGACTGTCAGCTCTCAGCGGTTTGACTTGGGAATCTCTGGAAAGTGGAAGTTAACTTCTACAGCACTCGGGTTGATGATCGGGAGCGTCAACGACGTCCAACGTTTCGTGGACCCAGACCTTGAAGAAAAGAAGAAGAAAGTTTTTGAGTTCAGATGGATGGCTCGTCAGATAATTCATCACAAGCTAGCAAAAGCTTTGGATGGGAACATGGAGTTTTCAACAACTGATTTTGATATCAAAGATATTGCTAATGTGATCAACCCAACTGACTGCATCATATCAACCTTAGGTTCCGACGAGAAACTCTCTTTGGTTGACGGACAGATTGAACTTAGCTCCGACATGGGTTCTGGGTGGACATTTGAATACGGAGATTTGTAGTTTAAAAACTGGAATTAAAATTGAAATATAAATTTTAAATATTATGCCCCGTGGCATTAACAGGTGCCTGTTATTTTCGATTTATTTTCCCAAGCTACCATTCGGATATCGTGTATAATTTTGTAATAACCATTAAAATTCGTCATAATTTGAAGACTAGATTATAGACCAAGTTGTAGACGTAATTTTGATAAGTCAATAAGAGACGACTACGTTATCAATACGACTCGTGGTCAATGTCCATAGAAATTGCTCACTTAAATTTGACGGGAGGAAAAAAATAAAAATAAAAATAAAAATTTGACGGAAGGGTTCAGAAGAATACTTCTTCAAATTTGTATAATATTAATATAATATATCCTCTCCGTCACGTGACCTCTCACCCCCAGTCACAATATCTATATCTTGCAAACACTTCAGTAAACTCCCCTTTTCCTCCCAGGAGCTCGAGCCCTTAAGTCGAGAAATTGCTCACTTAAATTTGACGGGAGGAAAAAAAGAAAAAAAAAAGAAAAATTTGACGGGAGGGTTCAGAAGTATACTTCTTCAAATTTGTATAATATAATATATCCTCTCCGTCACGTGACCTCTCACCCCCAGTCACAATATCTATATCTTGCGAACACTTCAGTAAACTCCCTTTTCCTCCCAGGAGCTCGAGCCCTAAAGTCGATAGTAGAGACGACCCTACTGGACGCCATGTTCGAGATCCCAGGTTCAGACATCCAGCATGTACTGATCACGAGTGATACCGTGTTGGAGAAACAGGAGCCACAGTACACTCGGCGGGAGGGGGAGGTTGTAGTTGAGCAATAACTCTCTCTCTCTCTAATATCCTGATAGGTTACAGCGGCTGTTGCCATTAGGCTTTTAAAGGAACCTGTTAATCCTTTCTTATGGTTTATATCAGGAGAGTTTGTACCGAGACCTCTTATATCTTACTGTTTTATGTAAGAGAAATACGTTTTAGAGATCGCTAGTTATTTTAAACTAATGCGAGGTTTTTCAAGCTACGAGTTTTATGTTGGATCGAGATTTTGTTAATGTCTTTTGAAGATCGCGATTCATATTAAATCATTACATGGTGACAGGTGAACCCATAATTTAATAAAGATTTTTCTGAATCTATTATCTACGACAATTTCTAAACTGCAGGGTGAAACGTTTTTAAAATAAATTGTTATTTTAAGCCATCAGAAGACGAATTAACGACAATCGCGCCTTAATTGTCTCACTGTATGCACAAGTGCCAAGTGGGGTTAAAAGATTTCTTAGTTTCAGTAAATTATTCGATGTTGGTTGTTTTGTATGGATTGTAAAGCGTGGACAGATTTTAAACGAAATTATTGGATTAAATTGAGGTACAAATAAAGGAATTGCTATAAATATTTCATTAAATCAAAGCAATTTCACACTGATCAAAGCAAAATTAACTTAATATCTACGTTTAGGAACTTTAACAACAATAAACCTACCAAACTTGTTACATTAATATTCGACCAAATATTTATCAACTAAAACTTTACATTTTGTATTTAGCAAGGAACCTCCCACAGCGATTTTAAACATTAATATGGCAGCTGTTCGAATATGAAAGTCAGTCCTTCGAACTCTGTACGATATGAGGTAGGGATCCTATTTTATTATTATAAGTGTATTCTTAAGATTATAATTCTTGATTTTTAAGTGGACCAGACATAAATTGCCGGAGTTTAAAATCATCATAATATTCAATTCCAAACAGAACTGCTCTGTTTCTGTTCCGAATTTCATATTCCGACTTTAGTTTAATGGCACATACGCTTTAGACATCACTGCACTGAATCTACTTAAAATTCGTACATTTTTATAATTATGAATCATGTTGCTCATTCAGCCGCTCTAATCTGGGGCACTTCTTGTTTGGCTGCCGTCCTTCTGTACTGCTCTCTCTTCACCGTGTAAATTTCAGTTTTACGAGAAGGCAGGCGACAAGAACGATGACGATTTCGCGCCGTACGTCGTGAACAGAAAAGCGGTTTCAGTAGACGGACTACACTACTCGGTACCTCTGTACCCGGCCTGGAGAGCGGGATTCACCCGGAACTGTGCCACTAAGAACATTCTGGATAATGTTACCCTGCACGTGCCCGATGGTACTCTTATGGCTATCATGGGAAATTCTGGTGAGGAACTTCAGATGGATTTAAATTTGAAGGGTCACATAATTTTCACCGATATTCATATCCTTGGCATATGGCTACTGTTATTTAATTCTATCATCGTTATCTCGCATCACGGGCAGTTGGATACTGATTATTCTGGTACTAAAACACTTCTATCTAACGCAGGTTCAGGCAAGACAAGCTTACTTGACGTGTTAGCTAACAGAGCAGTGTCGGGGTCCTCTATTAAAGGTGAAATAATGCTGAACGGTACTAATTGTACTCCTCGCATGATGAAACACTCTTCTGGCTACGTTCTACAGGTAATTATTTAATGACTGCTAATTAATTAATTACTCTGTTAGAAAATCCTTATCTCGAGAAGTGCCTGAACTCAACTTAGGGTCATGTTATCGTATCCCACTCGTTACAAAAGAACTGTTAAGACTCAGTTGTCGTTCAATGTCCCTCCCTAAAAACTGAAAGGAGTGGTACACTTCCCCTCAGAATATACTGTCATCACCCCAAGGATCATCCTCATCGAACATATGTTTCTCTGGCTCCTCCTCCACCACCTCCATTGGGGGTATATTCTCCAAAGTTAGACTGCTGCTTCCCAACTTGTTAAGATTATTAGTTGACAATGACAGCTGTTTAGCCACACTCAGGGTAGCTCCCTTGCAGCCCTCGTCCTGGATACTCGTCTTATGACAGCAATTCCACCGTCCACCCGAGTACACACCCCTGTGGTACACTGTGTACAACTTGGTGTGCTGTCTGTTGTCCACTGACTTCTCCACCATTCTACTGATGGTATTTACCCACTGGTCTATGTTGTAGTCAGCTGATAGGTAGAGGAATGTTGGGCGTGTTTTGTCTGTTGTTGTTCCTCGCAGACTGTTTATTCTTAAAGATTTCCCCTTTCTCACCGTTTGTTCGGATACTATCTGCATGACATTCTCCCTCTCAATCAGATCTTTTTCCACTCTCTCACAAACAACAATGTTCCGTACCGGGACTGCCATCTTCATCTTTCTGCCGTCCCCGGAATAAACCTGTAGACTAGAGGCGAATAGTTTACACCACCTCTCCTTAAAGCGGAGACTGCCCTCACATTTCTTGTAGAGTGTTCCTGTTAGTGTGGGGGTCTCCAGGGTACCCATTAGTGAGCCTAATGTTGGTCTGGAACTTCGTCGGCTGTCATACTTAAATTCGAGGTATGTTAAAATATATTGAGCCAAAAAATAGAACCTCTCTGTCCTACAAATTCCATGCTTGACATCGAGAAATTGTTAAAATAGACATAGTAAAATAGAGAAATAGACAAAGCAAACTAGCACCTTACTGTCTAACGAATAAAACATTTAACAAGCTAAATGTGCAGCAATAGATTTAGTTCAAACGATATGTGCGGCAGGTAACTATAATACACGAAGCAGTACAATTTAACAAAAACACAGGAATGTGTGTTGGAACGTTGCCGTAAACCGATTTTAAGAACGCATCCTACGTTTCGCTACGAATGACAAATCATATTCCTACAAAGTATGATGGGCAGTGAGCTAATCGCGGCGATACATTACCACATAGTTTCTAGCACGGTAAATCAGTTTTACATACACACGTATTTATTTCCATTGGCACGCAATGACGATACTTTGAGTGTATGGAATTCGTCCAGCAAGGAAACTTTGTGCTACATAAACATGATATTAATTGCACAGTTTGCACTGATTGAATCATCCAGTCGTTATCGAATAAGCTATACTATTGATCGATGAAACATTGCTGACTTGCACTTAATTCAATTGAAGATACAAAAGAATTCAAATTTATTCAGTAAAAAATATCAAACTGCCCATCAAACTATATTAAAGTCACTATTGTGACGGTACATTAGAACTAGACAGAAACAAAGTGTGAAGGGACTGAACTATCTAGTCTCCTGGATCATGAAGGGTACTTTCAAATTAATGGTCAAATGAATAGATAAAAATAAAGTTTTTATAAGCTCAATTGTCGTGAAAATGAATTTGTTCATGTGCTGTACAGGGTAATTCAAATCAGAATGTAGCATGTTACCATAGTTACCATAGTTACCGTAGTTACCATAATATTAGTAACCCTAATATTATGGTAGCTAGCCATATCACCAGTCCTAGAGTGCATTTAATATTGATCTTGAGTAAAAAGCACACGAGAAAAAGAATGACGTTAATATGATTTATATGTCAAAATATTAGCGTCATGAGTATAGGAGGTTTAGTCTGGTCGCTCTCACAGTACCAATCTGATCGCTCTCACAGAATCGCACAATATGTTGTAATTAGAACAAATGTCTTACAGTTCATAGCTCACAACTGTATGTCCGTTTCCATAGCTACTAAATAGAAAATAAGAAAACAATCGGTAAATGATTCCCCTATTGAAAGTGAAACGGTGCAATGAAGAGTTATCCTTTAACAATCGTATGTTTGGTCACAGCGTATCTTGAGTGCCGTCATGTCTACAACTTAACGATGAGTAGACTGTGTTTTTCATGACCTTTTGATATTTCAGGGGATCTTACTTCTTTGTTATCTATTGCTTATTCGCTATAACAAGCTTTATAATCACAATGTCAGTGATAACTGATACTCTGTATCATTCTGTATAATTCACGGTTGTTGGTCTCCAGTGCAAAAAATCGAACCTTCTGTATAAAGACAAAATGGTGCGTGATCACTCACGCGTTATTGCTCCATTTTTTAATTCTAATCCATATCAGATTTGTGAAAGTAAACTTAAAGTCCACTTTTTCAGCACGACAGAATGCTGCCTAACCTGACAGTTTGGGAGACACTAATGTTCGTGTCACACTTTACTCTTAACGAGAACGAGTCCTCCAAAGAAGAGCGGGTTAGTTTCAACTATTCAACGTATCAACTATCAACTGTCGGCGGTTTTAACAGCCCGTCGATTTGTTGATCAAAGCAAAGACTCAATATAATACTCACGGTTAAAACTATTCTTTATAGTCAGGCTCCCATTTGAAGACATAATATGTATAATAAAGAGAGTTAACAGTTTAATAATCATTACTTTACCATGTTTATAATATCCCCAACTAACCCCTCCCTTCCCCCTCCAAGGTACAGACAGTGATAGACAGACTAGGCTTATCCCACGTGACTGATACACGTGTTGGTAACGAGCACACACGTGGCCTCAGTGGTGGTGAGAGACGGAGGGTTTCCATTGGTATCCAACTCGTCAACGCTCCTAGTAAGTGTAAAATCCGGATTGGATTATTGTTTATGAGTCGCATTGTTGTAATGTATTCTGTGTAAAATTATCTTTATCCCGGTTACTGCGACAAGTAAAAATTTTAATACTTTCAACACTACTATATATAACAAATAATTTGTGATCATGAATACGATGTAGTTACATTGAAACGTCGAGTAAACTCCTTTTCCTAATAAGAGCATTTTTACTTGTCGCAGTAACCGGGATAAAGATAATTTTACACAGAATACGCTCCAAGTAAGCACGTGTTCTCAATTTCAGAACTAAAATTATCTGTTTATTATTTTGGGTAGATTGTTTTGTAATATGTACTTTTATTTGGTTTCACCGAATGTAAGAAATATTTTAGAAATCTTTAAAATAAAAAATATTATAATATTATCATGGAAATGTCGACCAACAGCTGCTGTTTAAAGATGATTTTGAAAAAAATTTTGTAATCAGTATCGCGTATTTTGAAAGATTCTGTTCAAACCGAAGTCACAGGTGGTTTTGATCATGAATTCGATTTCGCTAGTCTTCAAGTTTGAGCCTAAACAATAGATTTTATCTTGTTCATTCCAGCCTTAATGTTATAACAAAACTTTAAACATAGCACGACTTTGGAAAATATCATTAACGTTTAGGTGTAACTTCACAAGTTCAGCGCTGAAAACGCACCAGAGCTTTTCAAACAATCTAATCTCAAAACCAAACCATTGTCCAAACTTCCTGACGTAACACCGTATTTCAACTTAACAAAGTATAAATACAGGATCAGGAGTGGAAGAATAACCATAATCCACTTGTTGTAACCATGAAGCTGCTGATCTCACTAGCCGTCCTCCTTGCTGTTTCCCTCGCATCGGAAGATGGAGATGCTCCCTCACAGGACCTAACCTCCTCCCAAATCAAGAACCTCCTCTCCAAAGCTACCCTGTACAACAGTCAAGGACGACAAGTATCACTCGACAGTCTGCGAGGCAAGTACATTGGTCTCTACTTCTCCGGATACTGGTGCTCTCCTTGCAGGAAGATGACTCCCGTTCTGACTCAAGTCAGGGAGAAACAAAAGAGCAGGTTCGAGATCATCTGGATTACACGTGACCACTCCGAGACGGAAGCTAACAACTACTTCAGGAAGATGTCGTGGCTGAGACTACCTTTCAACGAGGCAAGGAGTATTGGTAATGAGCTGTTCAGGGCGGTCAGACAGAGATACATTCCCACTCTTACCATGCTGGATCCTAACTTCAACGTTATCAACTACAATGCAAGGAGCCAGATTGAGCGGGATAGCTCCGGAAGAAACTTCCCTTGGAGAAGTTAGACATGCTAGCAAGAAAACTGAATTTTTTAATTGTATCCTATTTAGATTGTTTTAGCTTGTAAGTCTCAATTCTCTGTTTTTCTTAGAATTATGTTCCGTTTGAACGAACTTCCGTGTCCGTTTTCAAACTCTGGTTTGTAGAATACTGCCTATAGTCCGAGCCTATATCGTGCCGTGTTATTTTTAAAAGTGGGATGTGGCACTATAAACTATCGCCAGAATTGTGATAGTTCGATCAACTTTAAAAAAATTTTATTCTTTAAAAAGGTGTTATCGGCATCACGTACTGTGTCAAGATCTTTTCAGATCAGGTTCACAGATTCATGGATTCGATTTAGTCGTCAAATTGGGACAATAGATTTTATCTTTTTCATTGGACCGTTAAAACTGCTCTTTAAAAGTTGGAACTTCTTTGGAAAATTTCGTTCACCTTAAGGTGCGACTTCACTGGTAAGATAACTTCAGAGGTGTCAGGTGCGGCCCCGAAAACGCATCGAAACTCATCGGGGCATTTCAACCAATCTAATCTAATAGCAGAACCATTGTCCGCATTGTCTGACTTACCGTCGCATCTTATCTCAAATAGGTATATAAAAAGAAGTGGAACTCAGTTCCTGACCACAATCCCGCATCTCACTAGAACCATGCAGCTGTTAATCTCACTAGCCGGCCTCTTGGCTGTTTCTCTCGCATCTGAAGACTCTTCCGAGCAACTACCAGAATGGACCCCCACCACCCGGATCTACAAGATCCTCTCTAGAGCAACCCTGTACAATAAGGAGGGGCAGCAGGTTTCCTCTCTAGAGCAACCCTGTACAATAAGGAGGGGCAGCAGGTTTCCTCTCGAGCAACCCTGTACAATAAGGAGGGGCAGCAGGTTTCCTCTCTAGAGCAACCCTGTACAATAAGGAGGGGCAGCAGGTTTCCTCTCTAGAGCAACCCTGTACAATAAGGAGGGGCAGCAGGTTTCCTCTCTAGAGCAACCCTGTACAATAAGGAGGGGCAGCAGGTTTCCTCTCTAGAGCAACCCTGTACAATAAGGAGGGGCAGCAGGTTTCCTCTCTAGAGCTACCCTGTACAATAAGGAGGGGCAGCAGGTTTCCTCTCTAGAGCAACCCTGTACAATAAGGAGGGGCAGCAGGTTTCCTCTCTAGAGCAACCCTGTACAATAAGGAGGGGCAGCAGGTTTCCTCTCTAGAGCAACCCTGTACAATAAGGAGGGGCAGCAGGTTTCCTCTCTAGAGCAACCCTGTACAATAAGGAGGGGCAGCAGGTTTCCTCTCTAGAGCAACCCTGTACAATAAGGAGGGGCAGCAGGTTTCCTCTCTAGAGCAACCCTGTACAATAAGGAGGGGCAGCAGGTTTCCTCTCTAGAGCAACCCTGTACAATAAGGAGGGGCAGCAGGTTTCCTCTCTAGAGCTACCCTGTACAATAAGGAGGGGCAGCAGGTTTCGCTGGACAGTCTGAGGGCCAACTATATCGGACTCTACTTCTCGGGTTCCTGGTGCGCTCCCTGCAACAAGATGACTCCTGTGCTAGCCGGATTAAAGGAGAAATTATACAAGAGAAAATTCGAGATCATCTGGATCTCACGTGACCGTTCCGAGGAGGAAGCTGACGAATACTTCAAGGAGATGTCCTGGCTGAGACTGCCGTACAATGAGACAGGAACCATTGGTGCTGAGCTATTTAAGGAGGTCGGAGAGAAACATATCCCGACTCTTGCCATGCTGGATGGTATCTACCAGTTTATCAACACCAACGCAAGGAGCCAAATCGAGCAAGACCCTGAAGGCAGAAACTTTCCTTGGTGGTGGATCCCATCATAAACATGTTTGCTTTGATAATACGAAATTTGAAATTAAAGAATTTATTGTAGTGTAACATCTCTGTTTATCTTTGTTATACACATTTTGCAATCAAAGATGCAAGTATATAGTAGAAGTAGAAGTACAGTAAAACCACGATTCACCGCGCCCCCATTCACCACAAACCCCATGTTACCACGGTCATTACTGTCACCAAAATTATCACTCAACAATAAAACCCATTATGTGATCAATCAAAACCCCGATTTACTGCGCCTATGCCATTTTTCCCGAACTCCGCGGTAAATCGGGTTTTACTGTAGTAGGAAGAATGAAATCTGATAACAAAACCATTTCTTTCTGACTAATCGTGTCTTCCCTTACTTCGCTTCCCACTTGAAAATTAGAAGTTCTGAATTAAAATAGAAGAACGTTGGGACGTTCTGGTCACATCCCTCCTATCACAAAAGTGACATATCTTGCTAAGAACACAAAGAGATTGGTGGCGAAATCGGGGGAACACCCCCCCCCCCCCCCCCCCCCCCCCCCCCCCCCCCCCCCCCCCCCCCCCCCCCCCCCCCCCCCCCCCCCCCCCGGCCCCCCTGAAACCCACAGAACCACCCCTGTTACCGCATTTACCAGGTGTTTTACTGTTGGACGAGCCGACAACAGGTCTTGACTCGTTTGCAGCACACAACTTAGTCCTGCTACTGAAGAGAATTGCTGGGTACGGGGTGACAATCCTTATCACTATCCATCAGGTGAATTAAACTGCTCACATGTTTAGGGTGACCCAAAATTAGCTTATTAATTAATGTTAAATCTCCAAATTTTTATCATCTAGAAACTAACGTTGGGGTTTTGGGCTACGGTATACGGATTTAACAGATTCTAAAGGAGTAATATAAAGCACACTAATCACTCTACCCGATCTAACATTTAACTCCTCAGCCCCGATCTGACATGTTCAGACTATTTGATGGCATCACTATTCTATCCTCCGGACAGCTAGTGTACAGCGGTCCTGCTCGTGCTATGGTGCAACACTTCAACTCTCTGGGGTATCCCTGTCCTCTGTACGCTAATCCTCTTGATCATTACGTGGATCTGGGTACTATTGATTACAGGTAACTCTCTTTCTCTTCTCTTCACAGGTAACTCTCTTTCTCTTTCTTTTTTAATATTGCTAACCTTACATGTTACCTGGTCCTTTTATTTATGTGCTGGATTTGATATTAGATGCAATGATAGAAATTTAGGTTTAAAATAGCTGAAAAATATATCCCAAGGGAGAAAATGAACGATACATTTTAAGCACACATCTCTTTAAGTCTTTACCCTATATTTATATATACCCTCCCCAGGAGTGAGTCGACCCAGCTGAAGACATCAGACTCGGTAGACTCGCTGAAGAAGAGCTTCATGGAGAGTGCGATCCACAGTGAGACTCTACAACAGATACACTACTGGAAGTCAGGGCCCCGGGAGAATGTTGTGTTTTACCGGACCAAGGCTAACAAACACGAGATAATGAGACGTATGATCCAGTGAGTTGGGGGGTGTCAGGACTCAGGAGGGGTCGTTTTGGGTGATGCTTTTTAGAATATCCTATAATTGAAAATGGCTATCGTGCAAGTTTTGGTGGTTTCAGAATTGCTGTCGGAGGCTTTCGTTATGTTTTGATTGGACTATAATATTTATCTTATCAATCTGATATTATTGTTAAAACCCCGCTTTATTTCAGGAGACTACAGCTGAATCTGAGTCGGGATAGTTCTGCTCTTACCATGAGACTTAGTCAGCTCTTCCTGTTCGGGTTCTTCATGTTCGCTTTCTTCTTCCGCATTGGCTCAAACCAGAACTCCATGCAAGACAGAGTGGGATTCTTGTACGAAATCAGCTGCGGTCCCATATTTATTGGTAAGATATCATCCACTTATATCCTTAAATGCAAGTGATTTTTATTAATGTTACTGTTCCATCGATTTCCTCGAAATAAAGAAACTGTTCGCCTCACTATTTGGTTCTCTATTTGGTTCTCTATTTAGTTCACTATTTAGTTCACTATTAAGTTCACTATTTGGTTCATTATCTTGTCCAATTATTCACATTTACACGACCCCTGCAGGAATGTTTAACGCTATCGCCCTGTTCCCAACTATGCGAGATATGCACTACAGGGAGTCACGTGATGGGTTCTACAACAGCTGGATGTTCCTCTGTACTTACTTCGCTCATATTATCCCCTTTGCTATGTTAGCCAGTGTTATCTTCGCTACTTTCACCTACTGGTTAGTAGTGGAATGTGAGGGAAGGAGGGAGTGTGACGTCACGTGAGGGAGTGTGGCGTCACGTGAGGGAGTGTGACGTCACGTGAGGGAGTGTGACGTCACGTGAGGGAGTGTGACGTCACGTGAGGGAGTGTGACGTCACGTGAGGGAGTGTGACGTCACGTGAGGGAGTGTGACGTCACGTGAGGGAGTGTTACGTCACGTGAGGGAGTGTGACGTCACGTGAGGGAGTGTGACGTCACGTGA